GTCTCTTCCCTTCGCTGCAGCCTCCCTCAAGACAACACCGGCTTTGTCTCTCCATTCACCATGCTTGTTCTTTAACCACGTTACTTAATTAAACTACCCATTTGAACCTTTTCAGAGACTCCATTAGTCTCGTTATTTTAAGTTTCTTTCCTGGGAGCGAGAAGATCACAAATTATCAACATGTGCAATACCGCACAAAGCGGGACATCTGGTCACCCAGACGGCTGAGCTGACCGCAGTGCAGAATCGCTGTATAGTTGAAATCTCCTAACAATGTTGTCCATTTTAGAAATAGGCCTATTATATTTACAGCCCTTTATAACATTCATTTTCTGAGCTCAAAGTGTGTCTTGGCCGTTTTCCTTGTGATCGCTAAATTCACCTTGTTTATAATAATCACAGTTCCTTCAACAGGATACTGTCGTGATAAAGTGTGATTTTAGCCTACGAGTGCTTTTGTTTTGAAATCACTTCCGTGAGTTTCGTCTGCGCTCTTATTTTGTAAGGTAACTTCCGGTAGCAGAATATGAAAAAACTGTAGTTTTTTTGTTTCTGTTTTCTAGTGATTTTATTTTTTGTTTTGAGAAGTAGAAAATGAAAATTATCCCGTTTTTTAAGTTTAGTAAATCCCTTTTTGACCGTGATAAAGAAAAACGCCTTGTATTTCAATTTTGGTTTTTCAATTTGAAAACGAAAATCAAATATCCAGTCGTTTTTTGTTTTTGAATATCCATTTGTGAAAAGAAAATCCAATGACCAAAACATACACTGACCGGAGGGGCTCTGTAAGGAAGTGGTATTGACTCTCATGGGGAAGGTATTAAACGGGAGTTCAAACAACTGCAGGGACTATATTTCAACACCTATAAGTGCAGAAGGATAGCTGAATTGAAAATTGAATGTAGCTTTATTTGAAATATGCGCCTCTTGATTTGGATCCTGTTCAAGATAAATATAAATAAAACTTTCAGGAAAATTGTTAAAATGTCATAAAAAAAAGTAATAGTATAGAATGTAATATGTAAAATTATAGTATAGTTTTAACCGATGGAGCTAAATGAAATCATAGTGACATCAAAGATATTAGAAATCATCATGCAATTGACTTATAATTATAAATGTTTACAAATCTTAACCTCACACTCACAGTAGAAGAAAAGTCAAGAGATCACTAAACAGGATGATGAGTGTCTGTACTAAATGTCTGGGTGTTGGGTCGACAGGCCAATCAAAAACAGATCCAGGCCTAAAATATACCTTGTAATGTCAATAGTTCAAATACAAAATAATAAGTGGTTGTATTCAGGGTATGAATACATCTGGCTCCACCAGACTGCTCTAACATCCATGCCTGTTGCCATTGTCTTCAATGACCTTGCTCAGTCGAAAGCACAGAAATCTCCATAAAAAATGTGTCTTGATGTGCATGAATAATTAATCAGAGACGTTCTATATGATGGAATTATGCATTTTTGGGCGTAATGAAACAATTTGATGGAGAAACGCAGCAGAAAAAGCCCTATATATCTGTACTGTACATACGACCCCCATCTGTCAGCTGCCCCTCCACAGCATAGTGAACACCCGACCCAGGGGTCCACAGAGCGGAGGCCATGTGAGTCAGGATGCATTTACTTTAGTAGTTCAACTTTATGTTACGTTACACTTCTACTCCACTGCACCTCAGAAGCAAATATTGTACCCTTAACTTCAAGGTTCAAGGTTCAAGGTTCTTTATTGTCAATCTGACATAGCTACAGAGTAATTATGCAGTTGAAAATCTTATGTCACAGGCTTCTCCAACAATGCAACATAATAACATAACATAATAACAATAAGAGCAAGAGCAATACAAAAATAATAATAGTTATAAAAATGAAATAAAGTTATGATGTGGAATAGTGCAGTATGAGTCTATATACAAGTTATTGGAATGATATATATATATTAGGTATTAGATACATACTACTGAGTAGCAGTTGAATGTTTGAAGTTGTTTCAACAGTTCAATTTTTTAACAGTCTCACTGCCCGCGGGAAGAAACTGTCTCCGAATCTTCTTGTCCTTGCCAGGATGCTGCGGTAACGTCTGCCAGACGGCAACAGAAAGAACAGTTTGTGGCTGGGGTGATGGGGGTCTTTGATAATCCGTAGTGATTTCTTCCTGAGCCGCTGGGAGTAAAGGTCCTCCATGGATGGCAGCTCCGTCCTGGTGATGTGCTGTGCAGTTTTCACCACCCTCTGTAAAGCCTTACGATCGAGGTCGGTGCAGCTGCCGTACCAGGCCGTCATGCTGCCAGTGAGGATACTCTCTATCGTGCACCTGTAGAAGTTGCAGAGTATCCTGGAATCCATTTTGAACCTCCTCAACCTGCGGAGGAAGAAGAGCCGCTGTCGAGCTTTCTTGGTGATGGTGGTGGTGTGAAGAGACCATGTCAGGTCCTCAGTGATGTGGACCCCAAGGAACCTGAAGCTTTTGACTCTCTCCACCGTAGTCCCATTGATGGCGATGGGGGCGTGTCCCTCTCCCTGCTGCTTCCTGTAGTCCACAATCAGCTCCTTTGTTTTGCTGATGTTGAGATGGAGGTTGTTCTCCTGGCACCAAGATGTCAGGTTTTCGACCTCCTCTCTGTACGCCGTCTCGTCATCGTCTGTGATCTGGCCGATGACGGTCGTGTCATCAGCAAACTTCACGATGGTGTTGGAGCTGTGTGTGGCCACGCAGTCGTGGGTGAACAGGGAGTAGAGGAGAGGGCTGAGCACGCAGCCTTGAGGGGCACCGGTGTTGAGAATCAGGGTGGAGGATGTGATATTTCCCACCCGCACTGCCTGGGGTCTGCCCGTCAGGAAGTTCAGGATCCAGTCACAGAGGGCGCTGTTGAGCCCGAGGTCTCTGAGCTTGATGGCCAGCTTGGAGGGCACAATGGTGTTGAATGCTGAACTGTAGTCAATGAACAGCATTCTCACATATGTGTTCCTGTTCTTCGGGTCCAGGTGTGAGAGGGCAGTGTGGAGGGTGAGGGCTATGGCGTCGTCTGTGGACCTGTTTGCTCTGTAGGCAAACTGCAGGGGGTCCAGAGATTCAGGGAGGGAGGAGGTGATGAATAATTTGACTAACCGCTCAAAGCACTTCATTATGATGGAGGTGAGTGCTACTGGGCGGTAGTCGTTGGGGCAGGTGATGATTGTCTTTTTGGGGACAGGAATGATGGTGGAGTGTTTAAGACATGTGGGGACTACAGACTGCAGCAGGGACCTGTTGAAGATGTCTGTGAACACCTCTGCCAGCTGAACTGCACACACCCTGAGAACACGGCCAGGGATGCCATCAGGTCCAGGAGCCTTGTGTGGGTTAACCCTTTTAAAGGATTTACACACATCTGCCCTATTTAAAACAAAAGGGCAGTGTAGCTCCTGGTCCCTCTGTACCTCCACAGCCTGGCTGCTCTCAAAGCGTGCAAAAAAACTGTTTAGCTCATCTGGGAGAGATGCGCACGCAGACACTCCCGCAGCACCCCCCGCTGCTCCTTTGTAGTCAGTCATTGTCCTTAGTCCCGCCCACATATTCCTAGTGTTACAGCCTTTGAAGTCAGATTCCACCTTGTCTTTGTACTGTCTCTTTGCATTTTTTATTGCTCTCCGGAGATCATACCTAGACTTCCTGTACTCCTCCAAATCTCCCGCTGTGTGCGCGAGAGTGCGCGCTTTCAGTTTGCCGCGCACCTCACCGTTTACCCAGGGCTTTTGATTTGGGAATGTCCGTACAGAAACCTTCGGTACCACGTCATCGATGCATTTCCCAATGTAGCAGATGACAGTGTCCGTGTGTGTGTTGATGTTATTGTCCTCAAACACACTCACACTTCACCACTCATGTGTGAATTTGAGTTAATAGATATTTTACATATTCAAATTATTAATACAAATTATCAACAATTAATGATTGACATTGTATTATTATAGATTAAGATACTACACTGTAGAGTTACTACACTTAATTTGACTTGAGTTCACCCCTGTCCCTTCTGCACTGAATAAGTGATTGTATATCCCCTGCCCCAAATGGTCCACACGCACGCACGCACGCACGCACGCACGCACGCACGCACGCACGCACGCACGCACGCACGCACACACTAACACACAACCAACTTCCCTCATCCAGCACCAGTCACTTTTCTGCCCATCTCCGCTGCTACTGCACTGCAACTGTATACCATGTTTATCTAGGCCCTTTTTGTTTTTTGTTTGATGTATATATGTCACACTGTAGGACTGCGGGAAACGATATTTCGAGATTTATGGATGTACAACATGTAGAATTCTTGACAATAAAGCTGACTTTGACTTTTTTGACTTTGATATAATATTTCTGACATGTATGTCAGGAATATTGGGCTATTACCTAATTTTTTTAAATCATTTCAGCGGGTGGCTCGGTGGATTAGTACGTTGGTGTTCGGATCAGGAGAGCACAGGTCCAAACCCCACTGCAGTCAGCATGTCGTTGTGTCCCTGGGCAAGACACTTCACCCCAAATGGCTCCTGTGGGGATTGCCCACAGTATTGAGTATGTAAGTCGCTTTGGATAAAAGCGTCTAACAAGTAACATGTAATTTCATACTGATTGGCCTGACGAGGGCGCTGTAATTTCAGGACACAGTTTTTAAGATAATATTTTTGTCACAATTCTAATGAAACCTGGTGCATTATGGCCCTGGGCGCAATTCTTATATAAAACACAACAGTGATGCAGAATCCTCTTTGTCATGGGCTGTCTGCATGACTCGTGGGGGCTGACATGTTTCACAATTGCTCTCTTTTGCATGGGTAACCATCAGATGAATAATTTAGCATAAGATAGCAAAACATTAAGAAGCCCAGCATCACCATGTGTTATCCTATTTCCAGACTTAAAACACACACTTCTTCAAGATACTACTTCCATGATGTCATGTCACCAATATGCAAATTAACACTTAAAAAAGAGAAGAGACTCAGTATATTTTTTGTTTCCTTTATTCCACGTTTGCATGCAGTACAATTCCAGTTCAGTTGACAGTGTTTACTCCAACAATCACCGTTCTACACTCAGACTGGTGGCATGCATGCTCTCCTGGGATCTTTGTTATTAGATTTACAAAATAACTGCTACTGCAGTCCGCTTTACTGTTGTCTTTGGTGTGTCTGTTGAGGTTTTATGAAGCTGATTAACTCAGAAATTAGAATGGTGTATGTGTGTAATTGAGGGAGAGAGAAAGCTGCTAGCGGGGCTAAGCTGAGATTTCAGATGAAGAGTGTAATTACAGCAAAAAGAGCAGGCAGATGTGTTTACACAGTGCACTCAGCTGGGGTTGGCTCATTACCAGAGACAGAGGGGAGAGAGGAGAGCAAGGGCAATCCCTCGCTTCCCTCTCTCTGGCGTGTGAACAAGCATGCTTTCTGGAGAGTGATTATCTGCTGCTACACCTTTCTAGAAGCGGTTTGTAAAATATCAAGTGTGTGTTTATGTGCTGCTTTTCTTTCTACTTCTTCAGCATGCCTTTGTTTTCCACGTTGACAGGTATCTTGGTCTCTGAGCCCTCGATGGATCTGATCAGAGGAGCATCCACGGTCAACACCCCCTCAGGAGACAGGGAGGAGTTCACGTTCTCAACGTCAGTATTAGATGGGAGGCTGGAGAGAAACACACATAAGATATAAGTATGAGAAATCACCCATTATTTAAACAAGACTGACTGAAACACTATAGGGGTAAATCAGATCCAAGACCAGCTCAGTGCGTATTGTTGTGGCCCCTGGATGGCAGCAGAGTCCTATTGAGCTTAAATCTCCAGCAGGAGGAGGTGGATGCTGCTTCTGCTTTTCAGAGCATGAAATCCAGCTATCAGCAGCAGCCAGCCATCTACAGGCTGGACCAAAACCAAAACTAAAGACACCCACAGCAGCAAAATCATAAAAAAAGAATCCCAGGTATCTGAGCCCAGCCCGAGAAATACATTTCCTCCACAGAAATTCACTGCAAAGCCACCATCAAACAGCCACAACAAACCAATGTAATGATAAATATTTTAGATTTGAAGTGAGTTTGTGACATATTGCATGGCCAGTAGTTTCCTGACATCAGCTGAACAACAAATGTGTAACAAGTGATCAAAAATAAAACTAATGTATTCTAGATGGATATTCTTTGAAAATCCTACTCACGTGTATTTCCTGGTGAAGCTCCTGGACACAAAACCATGCTCGTCCTTCCTGTCCTCATGCTTGCCTGAGGAAACAGAAAACATAGTTTTATATAAATGTATCATTGATTATGGCTCAATCAAAAGCATAAAATAGCTGTTACATTGTGTCAGCATGTACACTACCAGCACCATGGAACTGGTACACCTAAATGAAATGCAGCCCTGTTTGACTACAGCTGCTTTTTTCCTTTGTATTGTATTTTATCAACCATAGTAGCATACACTGCATAGTGTTGATGTAATGCATGTCAGATACAAAGCCAAAGCAGGCCTTCTTAGAAGAATATGCAGGCCAACTTGTGTAATGGTTTGACATTTTATAAAATTGTGTAGAAGTCTGTTGGAGTCTGGTCCCTCTATAAATTATCTTTCCTTCCGGGTAAGAATAATGTTTCCTTGTAGCATCAGTGGTTTGCTTTAGGGCTTGGGTTAGGTTATCTTAAGGCGATGCAGAAATCACAAGTAGGTGTAAGAAGTTTCGTTAAGATTTAGATACACAGAAACACTATGTTGATATAAACATTCTAGCTACAGTAGCAACCTGTTAGCTTAGCCTTTAGTTTTGGTGCTAAGCTAAGACAACCGAGTCCTTGCGCTAGCTTCATATGCTACACACAAATGAGAGTGGCGTCAATATTCTCATCGAATTGTTCCATAAAAGTGAAAATGTACAATGTTATCTAGTACTAAACTGTATGTAAATGTGTAATGAATTCCAACAGTAGGCTACAATGAATGGGCTTTTTTTGTGTGGAATATTTATGCTGGCATTCCCCCCCCCCATGTAGCCACAGCCAAATCAGTCAGCTTCTGTCAGTGTCCCATGGGTACTAAGATATATGGCTGTCATGATGAAACACAACCCTTTATTCTTGCTCTAAATAAAGAACCATGATATTTTTGTTATGACAACGGGCGGATAATGGCTGGCTACCGCAGGGAGCTGTCCCCTTTTTAAACAAGACACTACTATTGTGAGTGTGTCTGAGGCAAGTCTGCACTCTTTCAAATGAGGACTCATGAAAAGAGGTTGCCCTTCAGAGTTTACACTAAACTCTTCACTGAAGCTGATGATCTTAAATCACATAACCCCCTCTCTTTGGTGACAGGAGGTGGCAAATTCTACTTGGACGAGACCCAGTGCTTTGTTTATCTGTTCTTGTCTCTCAGCAGTGAGCAGGCCATAGTCCGGCCCAGGAACCTGTACCTGGACTAGATCCAGCAGTCCTTGTAAAGCAGCAGGACATGCTTTGTGTGTCACGGCTAAATCCCCTCCTATGAGAGGATGATTCTTAGAGAAATGGCTGACAGAGAGGCCGAGACTGACTCAGAGAAAATAGGAGCTCAAGGCCTTTTGGACAGCTGAGCTATTATATGATAAATTTCACATTTCTTCGGGTTGGCACATTTCAATTTGGTCCTTCACAAGCATTAAACGGACAATAAAAATATTTCACTCCTAAAAGTGAAACCGGCTTTTTAATAAAACAGTTTGGGCACTCTGGAGCTGCTGTTAAAGGCGACTCCCACATGTTGCATTGTGTTTTGCATTTGCAGGCATGTATCCAAAAGCCCCCGCCCTCGATTGTGCTGGAACTCAGTATATTGTCTCAGTATATGATGTAACTGTGCAGCAATGCATCTGCCTTGTGTTTGAAAAAAATAAATGTGTCCTGCCTTTTTATTTTGTTCTTTATGTTTGCACTGTGGCAGTTTTTCTTACACACATGAGACACACCTCCTCGTTTCAGTCCGTGAGGAAATCAAAATATTGTGCTCCTTTCTTATTCACTTTATTGTTTGTCCTTTCAAATGCCCTCAGGAATTAACAGTTGGTTTGACACGGTAACAAATTGTTAGCACATGAAGTTATATTTCAATCAGAATTGTAGATGTTTTGTCAGGAGTTCAGTCTTAACATATTGTTAAGGCTATAGAATAAGAGAGCAAGGCCTGCAAAGATTACTTTTCAACTATTTGATGAATTCCCAACTATTTTTATTAACGATAAATCAGTTTGAATATTTTTTAAAGAAAAAATGGTCTCTGGGTTAGGGTTACCCCTCAATGACATAATGTTTATTATATGTTAGAGACAAATAATGAGTATGTCATCAGAGGGTTTGGGAACCCCATTTTCTGACTAAAGAATTGATTAAATAATCATCAGATTAATCGACAATGAAATTCATCATTAGTTGCGTCACTAGTATGATGCTGTTGTAGTACCTAAAACTAATTATTAAACACATCATTTCTGTGCTTATTGAATGAGCCTGCACTAGAGTAGAGTAAGCAGGTGATCAGTGAGAGAGAAATGGGGACTCACCAGTGATTTCCACCACTCCATCCTTGGTCTTCACCACCAGCTCCTCAGGGGAGAAGTGGTTGACGTCCAGGCACACCTTCCAGCTGTCCTGGCTGTGCTTGATCTCTGACATGCCGCTGCTCTGCTGGCGGGACATGGCACGGGCCTGATGAGCCATCATGGCCGGTGGGTACATCATGGAGTTCTGGGGCATCATCTGGCCCATGGAGCTCATCTGGCCCATGGGGTTCATCTGGCCCATGGAGTTCATCTGGCCCATGGAGTTCATCTGGCCCATGGTGTTCATCTGGCCCATGGAGGGCATGGCTGGGGCCATGGGAGAGGGCCGCATGTAGCCTGCCCAGTGGGTGCTGGGGAATGTGTTGAAGTCTTCGGGAAAGGCAGGCATACCGAAGGTCTGGTCAAAGATGCGGCTCTGGTGCCAGTCACGGAATGGGTCCCAGCTGGGGGTGCGGAGCATGGTGAAAGGAATACGTCTCTCAGTCATGGCTGCTGTGTTTCGGCTGTAGTGTAGAGCTGTTGGCTGTGTAGGAAGAGCTCTTTGGCCTCTGTGAGAATGTTTTCCCAACGTGCCGTCTACCTCTCAGCTGAGAGCTTTTATACACACTGACACTGCCCCCGTCAACAGAGCCCTCCCTTCTTACTCAAACCCCCAGCTCGTATTTTTGGAAGCTACCAGAATATCTATTTGAGGCAGACGTAGCACTGGAATGGAATCCAAAGGGAGGCCCTCCCCACTTACAGCTGCCTAGTGCACTGTACTGTTAACCCCACTGTGTGTAATCCCCCCCCTCCCTCTCTCTGGGAGAGTCATTCTGCCTGCTGAACATATAGAAACCCAGACTCAGATAAGACTAACATGCTATTTCTAACATGGCTCTTCATAAGCCATGATGAGATGTACAGTACAGTACAGTACAGTACAGACTGTTCTTTGCTATTGTCAACCTCATGTTAGATACACAGGGGATTGTCATTTTGTGACATGGATGAAAGTGAACATTGAAGACACACTTATTAACAAGCACACAAAGCACACAAAGTTTGGGGTGATATTGCCAAGTTTAAAAAAAAAAATTCAGGTCATAAGGTGAAATTATGACTGAGGAGCTGAGGTGTAGACTCAAGTCGCATGTCCTGGAGTCAGACTTGAGACACAAATTTGATGACTTCAGACTCGACAAAATCAAAAAAGAGACTTGACTTGGACTTTTACACTAATGACTTCAATCAGCCTTGAACTTTTGACCTGAAAATACTTGATACTGGTATTTAAATAGTGTGCTATCGAAGCAATTAATTACCTGAATCAACTACCCTTACGCTACAGCAAGTCATCACTTACAATGTAATTCCCCAGACCCAACAGCATCCAATCAAATTGCAGGAGGGAACCTTGAATATAAAAAAGCTGAGCACAAGCAGGATACAATAGGCAATTTTGCCCACATACAAGAACTATGCAGCAACCAACAAAAAACGTATTGCAGTATGCAAAATGTTTGGGTTTATATGAACTGTTTATGACCCGAAACTTAACACTAAGGACTTGCAAATGACTTGGTCCCATCGCATGGATGCAGCGTATCCAGGGGGACCAACTGTTGACTCTACACATTATCCATAAGGTTCAGCTTACATTCAGCTTCACAATTGCCTGTCATCAGATGAGTGTTGGTGACATTCTCTGCAAACCCCTCATGTTATTAATACCAAAAACCTGTGGCTCCTCAAAGCTGCTGACAGCCTGAGATTACTTCTGTGTGGCTGATTGTATGTCACAGATGTGTTCCTGCCAGCCTCACCATGGCACTCTCATGAGATGTTCTGTTTCTGATATAGGTGCTGCCTTGAACCCAGTAACACTGCACTATAGGGTCCAGCTCAGCTGTGAGTCTGAGGGTTCACATTGTTCTTTTTAAATTGTTCTTTCGGTAACAAACTTGGGACCAATGAGATGCAACCAGTTGCTATGCAAAATCGGCGCAAGGGGATAACTTGGGGGGGCCAATGGCCATTTCCTTACTATGGGACCGATGTAAAGTCACAGTGACTTTGACCTGCAATTTCTAATTGGTTCATCATAGAGTCCAAGTGGACACTTGAGCCACATTTGTAGTAATTAACTCCAGGTAGAGAGACAACCTTAACATAAATTATGCCTCAGACCTCGCAGCCACCCGTTTAGAAGCATAACTACAAGACCAAACCATTTTAATGCGAAAAAAACAACTATAAAGAGACACAAAACCAAAGCGACTTGACTTCCAAGTGACACAAAGAAATGACAAAAAGAGGCAAAACTACTGTAAACTTTGTGTGCCTTATCCTATGTAAAGTAGCAATGGTGGTTCAACCTAAAGTAACATGTGTGCATTTGATTGTACAACTTATATGTATATGTTGTATATAATGTATATTGACAGGGACTGTTGCTAAAGCCAAGTGCCTCATAAACAGATTTTAAAACGAGTGAAATATTTTCTTTTGTCCAATAGATTTAGCTGATTAATAAAAGTTAGAACAGTTCCCGTTTGAGAGTGTGACTACAGACTGAGTTCACTCATCACAGAGTGTAAGGGTGATGGGGTCCGTTTGGAATTGGGCCAGTCTCATTATCTGCCCATGTTAAATTCTACAGAGCTGGAGAACATTCTGGCCAAAGTTGTCATGAGTATCAAGTATTGGACAGTTCTCACCAGTGCCATCTGTAGGAAAATAAGTGCAAAACGCCAGCAGAAGAAGAAGAACACCGTCATTATTTCCCCATTTGTTTCTGTTTATTGTCAGGTATTATAACTTGTACACTACAAAGAATGACTTGGAGAACCAAAGGGGCGATGCTATACTTGGATTAAATGAACATGTTTGCAGATTATTTCAGTTGGGTTACACTGGGTATGCAACACTGAGTGACATGAAGCTGGTCGAATGGTAAGGAAGACTTAGGGTGATCCCTGATTGTGTCGCCAGTTTGTTCACCGTACTACTGAAGCTGTGTGTCTCGTCTCTGCTATGCTAGGTTACATCAGATATATTCTCCTGGTAACAAGGGGACCTGTGACAGAAACATGTTGCGGCCAATTATACAAGGGATTAGAATATGTATAGGCTGGAAACATACGGCAGAGTAGAATAATGGACTCGTCTTTCCACACCGTCCTCAATACAAGCAGTCATAATGGTTGCATTCAAATTAACCACTACAAGAGGCCGGGGGTGCCGTAGTGGCATTCGTGGGAGAAACTGTGGGCGAAGACCGTCTGCTGCCCAACGGCTACAAAGAGCATTTTAAACACACTGAAGTAAAATCTCCACCCTGATGGTGTCAGCCTTGTCATGATTTCTGTGGACATAAACGGTACAGGGAACAAGTTTGCATCACAATCTCGTCTTTAAAGCATGACCCAACTGCTTTGCAGCTCATGATAAATACATTAAATAATAAATAACCAATAAATAACCAAATAAATACAATAGGATCATAAATAGCTGTGGTGTGTGTGTATGGTAGACATTTTGCAGACAGTTTTCTGTACACTACCATACAGCAGCCTTAGTGTACACATAAATAATGACCTCACTGGACATTGCAGAGGAGGTACACACACACACACATACACACACTCTCACATACAGTCAGGATTAGCAGAATCAACATAATAATTTAAACAGGGAAGAGTAAAAGTACATCATAAATAATCCCCCCCTCCCGACATACTGTATAGGCCAGTGGGAGCTCTGATGCACCTCTACTTCCTGCCAGTCTCTCCTGATGCATCATGCTCAACAAACCTCCTTCAACTAGATGGAATATACAGTGCATAGTTTACAAAGCCAGAACGTAAGAGTTTACTATACAGACAAACCTATACAATACCATTTTATCATAAAAAAAGTTCATTTTCTTTTTTGCTCCCCATTTCATCTGCCGATTTCTCTTTTGTTCTAACTGGTGTTGATCTCTGCTCCTCGATGAGATGGAAGTCTTTGGGGCAGATGAGGACATGATTGGGAAAGAAAAGTCAGAAATGTAATGAAATGTTCATTAAGCAGTTGTCATGTGTCCTCTTTTTATCTTCTACTCAGCTCCTACTGTTAGGATATATTTATATATATTTATATAGTATATAGTTCTTAATGAATTCATTTTTGGTTGCGTTGTGGAAGAAGAGAAAGAAAGTGCTAACATACAGCGAGATTTGTTCTTTGGGCTCTACCAAATTAATTTCGACATGTGGTGACCCATTTCCTTTAATGCCTTTGTGAAGACGTGAACAGTGATAGCCAATTTCATAGTGATGTGCTATATCAAATTACGTTTCTCCACTTTGATCCAGGCTCAGAGAGAGATGATGGTCCAGGGGCGAGGAGTTTGGGCCCTGGTTGGACAGCAGGGAGGCCCTGTGGAGGCCCCGTTAAAGATCATGATTCTCCTCTGGTTGTTTTTGTTTCCCTTCTTCACGTGCTGCGTGTTTAGTGTCAGACTCCGGGGCTGTCATAGCTGCTGCGGCTGTCGTAGCTGTGGTGGCTGCGGGAGGGGCTCTTGCTGCGGCTCCAGCTCCGGCTGCGGCTCCGGCTCCAGCTCCGGCTCCGGCTGTGGCTCCGGCTGTGGCTCCTGCTGCGGCTGGAGCTGCTTGAGCTGCGGCTCCGGCTGCGGCTGGAGCGCGACGGGCTGCTGTCCAGGCTGGAGGACGAAGGACTGGGCCGGTAGTACGGGATGGGCCGCTTGCGAGCACTGGGGAGAGGGGAGAGAGGAGGGGGTTACATCTGACACATTTAAAGTTTGACGAGTTAGTGTTCATGAAGGTTTAACACACGTTGTATTAAGACTTAGTTGGTTGAGAGACAATCATTGTTAGGTTAGAGGAGTGGTGAAGTTATGATCAGTACAGGATCTGAAAGAGAGCAGTTTATGTGTTAAAAAGTTCAAGCTGTCACACACACACACACACACACACACACACACACACACACACACACACACACACACACACCACACACACACACCACACACACACACACACACACACCACACACACACACACACACACACACACACACACACACACACACACACACACACACACACACACACACACACCACACACACACACACACACACACCACACACACACACACACACACACACACACACACACACACACCACACACACACACACACACACACACACACACACACACACACACACACACACACACACACACACACACACACACACACAGTGACATTGAGTTCCCTATGCAACACATTGACCTACTGTAAATGTCTATCCTCAATGTGATTGGTTGCGTAATGTTGCAAAAGCTCAGAAAACTGTCCTTTTTCTGGAAAAATCAATTACAACCTTTTTGCTTTGTTATCTTCACATTGGAAAAATATTCAAGAAAAAGAAAAATACTCCCGGTTGTGTAAATAACTTTACCCTAAGTACCTGTTTCAACTTAATATAACCACTGACACAAACAACAGCCTTGTCCAAATTGGGGACACAGCCTTTGTCCTCACATGCCATCCCTAATTAACCTGCCTTTAATTTGAAATGTGTCTCCGATGGTAG